TTTTTCCAATAAAATGACTTAAATGCCCCTTCTTCTTCCTCCTCTCCTCCGGCGAGCCCCATCCCCTTTGCTCTCTCTCTCCAATGTCATTTCAATTCCAACACTAAACACACACACACATAGAGAACAGATCTCTCACCAATGTCATTTCAATTCCAACACTAAACACACACACACACAGAGAACGAAAAAGAATGTCCAAAACGGAAGAATAATTATCTCCTCATAGTAGGTAAATTTAGGAGATTTCTAGTCTCATATCTTATTTAATCTCCAAAACATCCACATTTTAGCTCACATAATTCTATTTGGCGAAAATACATTTGTTTCCAAACAATCACATTTCCAATATTTAGGGCTTGGCTTACATTTAGGAACAACGAAAAAAATAGCCTTACAAATGTGCGAAACATAAATAAAGAGAAAGAGAGAAGAATTACCTCTGGTCGCCGAATTCATTGCCGGCAGGATCAAAGAAGTCGATGGGGACGGCGGTGTGGTCGGCGGTGTAGAGGTCCTTGCTGGTGATGTCTAGGGTCTGGTCGGAGAAACTCGACGGAGCAGAACTCGCACTGGCCGTCGCCGTCGCAGTCACAATCACGACAGAAGCGCATGGACATGGCGCGGTTGCTGTTTAGCGGGATGAGGCCGAGGCGATGGGCGATGAACTTGTCGTTGAGAACGGAGGAGTTGACTTTGATTTCGAAGATCGGCCGCAATGGCCTATGATTATACTTACAAGTCAATCCACCATGAGACCAAAAGAAAGCAGATCTGAGCCATAGCAAGTGATTTCTGAAGTGTGTGAGAGAGAGAGAGATAAAATGTGCCCCAAAATGTGATTTTAGACATATACCCCTAAAAGATGGGCCACGTGATCACGTGCACTATGAGAGATAAAATGTGCCCCAAAATGTGATTTTACACATATACCCCTAAAAGATGGGCCACGTGATAGATCATGTGCACTGTGCTGTTATATTTTAGACGACAATAGACGAAACGGACCAAATTGCACCCTTTTAAAGAGTTTGAGGTTCGTTTCATCAAAAAAAAAAGTTTATGAACCAAACTGTCACCTTTTAAAGAATTTGGAGACCATCCGTACAATTTACTTTTCTTTTTTTATTTTAGCAAAGTGGTCTTTTTTTCAGTAGTCAACTAATGATTGATCAATCAGCGATTGACCTATTCATTATTATAATTTTATCAATAATTTATCATTAATAAACTTGTAATTTGTTTATTGAAATTGTATGAATAGTAATTTATCAATGATTTATCATTAATAAACTTGTAATTTGTTAATTGAAATTGATTAATTACTATTTGATTTTGGCTAATTATTAACTAATATTAATTGATAATGAAAAATTATCGAGTTAATCAATGATAAACTTAAGTCAATCAGTGATTGACCGCTAGTCAATCAGTGATTGACTATTTAGTTAGTAAAAGAAACGGTCATTTGGCTAATTTTACAAAATTTCTGTTATTTTTCTAAAAAATCCTTAAAAAGGGGCCATTTGCCTCTATATCCCTATAATTTATGTTGTTATTTTTAAATAAATTTCTCAAGCTTTGTTTGTTCTTTTATCAGTTTTGGCTTTGTTTAGGTGGGGTTCGTTTTGATAAAGAAGAATCATGGTTGGGTTTAAGAATCGTTACATGGTGGTGGAAGTGAACTTGAATCCTAATAGAGACCAACTCAAAGATGACCCCATGACATTAACACCCTACAATGTCACCAAAGCCATTAAAGACTGTATTCTTCTCAACTTTGGGGAGTGTGGTCTCGCTTCTTCAGTAGCATCTTTCCAAGGTAATCTTACACTTACTACTACCAAATTCGATCAATCAATATTTTTTTTGTTTTTTTTACTGAATTTTCTATGATGATGTTAAAACACTCGGGGAATTCTGCAGTAGGGTATAATAATATTAAAACTAGAGTCTTATTAGTGTCGCCATAAGGCCATCTTCAATGCAAATGCTTAGGTCAATGCTATATTTGGCATCAAAAAGTGTTTTACAGCATATTTAATTAATGTAATTTCCCTTAAAAAAAAATTAATGTCATTTTGATTTGTTCTCCAATGCATAATGTTATTCAAATGTTATATTTACTCTTTCTCATAGTTTGAATGCTGTAGAAGTAAACTTATAATTTTAATAAAAGATAAAAGAGAAAATAACAATAAAAAGCCAATACTGTTACAATTATATTAAAAAGTCAATACATCAATCAATAGGAATTAAATGCTACTAGAATTTAGAGAGTGATTTTTCTACTCAATTTGACATTTTGAAGAAGAGAATTCATTACTAGACAATGCCAAACTAGTATGCTAATGCCAAATTTGTCAAATTGAGTGTGGGAAAGGGGAACACCATCTTTTTTGGAAAGATAAATGGTGTGAAAATGAACCTTCGGAGTGTTTATTTCCGCGGCTCTTTGGACATTCAGAATTTCCAAATGCTTTACTTTCTGATATTATGTCATTGTCTAGTAATGATGAGTCAAATTGGAACCTTGGTTTTAGGAGAGGCCTCAATGACAGAGAGCTGGAGGATTTGCATTCTCTACTTCAAGTTCTCAATTCCGTTTCAGTTCTCAATTCCGTTTCAATTTGTTCATCTTCTCTTGATCGTAGAGTTTGGATGTGTGATCCCTTAGGTTTTTCGTGTTGATCCTTTTTGAGTTCCTTAGTGGACAAAGATGATATCCTGAATTTTGAACCTTTTAAATTCATTTGGAAGTCTCGTGTCCCCCATAGAATTAAAGTCTCTTTCATGGGAAACTTAAAACCTGCGATAGGGTGCAGAGGAGAAACCCTTATTTGGTGCTTTCCCCATCTGGGTGTGTTCTCTGCAGGGAAAATGAAGAAAGTATTGATCACCTACTGCTACATTGTACAGTTGTCAGATCACTTTGGAACAAGCTAAGTGTGGAGGCGGGTTTTAGTTGGGCAATTCCAACAAAGTGTGGTTCTTTGATGATTGAGAGTTGTGGGTTTAGGTTCTTAACAAGTAGGCCAGAGTCCTATGGAATAATAGTATGGTGCTTTCATTATTATGGTCTCTGTGGATGGAACGGAATAACCGAATTTTAGAGGAAAAGGAGATGGAGGCAACTGATATTTTTGAGAAGGCTAAGTTCTCTGCATCGCTATGGGCTTCTTCAAATAAAGCATTTAAAGGGTTCCCATTTTCTTTGGTCATTTCGAATTGGAAAGATGTAATAATAAGGAATTGATTTGAGAGTTTGTTCCTGTGTTTATCGTGCTCTTTTAGTTTTTTGTCAGCTTTTCAATCCTGACCATTTTTGTTTCTTTTCGGCATGAGGATACCTTGTCCTCTGCCTTTTTTATTAAATCTTCATCAATAAAGTTTTTATTATATATATATATATATAAGCATACTAGTTTGGCATTGCAGTGGGGATGTGTTAAAATCACATACTAATCTAATCATATTACAAAAACATGACGGTTTGATGGAATTTGATGAAAAGATGATGGTTTTAAAATTATGTTTGCATAATTTAAAAAAAAAAAAAAATTAACGTTTCAAAACTATGCTTATTTGTATTTTTTTCCCCCCTTCTCACTACCAGAAAATTACTAACTGTACATTTTGTGTGTATAGTCAAGTATGTAAATTCCATCACGAAAGTGTGTATCATTAGAGCCTCAAGGGACGAGTACCAAAAAGTTTGGTCGGCGATTACCATGATGAGGAGTATTTCAAATATCCCAGCGGTGATTAACTTATTGGACTTAAGTGGTAATGCATAGGTTTCTCTGTTAATTCTCTTAAGATTTTCGTGTTGTTGGTGGTATTATATGATTAATAGCTCACTATGGTTATCATGGCAATATGAAAACAAACATCTTTGTAGGAAGCATCAAGGCGTGTAAAAATGCAGCACTCAAGTGTGAGGAATGGAAATTTGAGCAGCGCAAGGTCGTGGCCGGGGCATCTCTATCGGCCGAGGTTAGCAGACAGATGCAAGGTTGTCTTGACAAGATCAAAGTGTTGGAACATTAAAACAGTCCATCTTGCCTTTGGCTTTAGTGCTTTGTGTTGTATTATATGTCCTTTGATCTCTTGTTCCTTTCATCCTTTTTCTTTAATAGCACACAAAACTCCTGTTTCAATCACGGACCATTTTGTTTTTCAGCAAGGAAAAAGAAAACTCATCTTTGGGTTGTGATCCCTTATACACTGCTTTTTTATTTATTTTTTTTATTTTTTTGAGTACGGGTTTTCCAAACTGGATCTCTCATGCAGAATTCTACTATCAAAGAGCATTAACAACTTCATGTGCTGTCGTATTATTTTCTTTCTTCCGTCCGACTCCTACCCATTGTTTTCAAGTTAACTTGTACTACTTCTGGGGGAGAAAGAAAAGGTTGACTCGTAGATTGTAGTACCAGTTTACCCCAAATTCCTGAGACAAATTCTGTCCTCTGCACTTATTAGAAGAATGCGGTTCTCGTGTAGATGAGTATTTCAGTTCAAACTACATGTCGTTTTTGGTACAAGGAAATTACAAATAGACAAGTTTTAACTAAGAACAAGTCGTTTTGGGGATGCATACAAGTAAACAGCAGTTGAGTTTTTAAACAAGCGACAATCGTTTTTCTGGTAAAGGATTAGAAAATTCTGATTTACAAACGGCAACGTTGTGTATTTTCATACGACAACGGAAGGCGCCGTTGTGTTGTTTCTAAATGAAATGACACCAATAATTTTACAAAATGTTTTTGTGCGTGTGTGCGTTTTTTTTTTTTTTTTTTTTTTTCAATTGAAAAGAGATCAGCAAACTTGTAATTTCTAAACACCAAACAACATTTTTAACTGGTATCCAAAATTTTTAAATGAAAATAAACAAAAGCCTAGTTTTAAACTCTACGTGAAACAAAACGTGGTTTATGCTTAAATTTCAAAACGACAACAACTCTTCAATGGAAAACATGTCCTTGGACCTTTGTTTTACATAAACGACAACCAAATATCCTTTTTTCCACCGGACCATATATCTACAGATCTTCAAAATCAAAATCCCGTCATTTTTGACGTGCAACATTTTTTTTTTTTTGACTACATATACATGCAACATGTTTTGCAGGGAAAGTTAGGCCCCGTTTGAATTATGCTTTACCTATTAATGATCAAAGAAGTTGTGGAAACTAGAAAATTTCACAGATTATGGACGCCTAGAATTTTTTCCAACAATCTTATTGGGAAAGAAACGAAAACAAAGAGGACCGGGACTCAAATCACCTGTCTAATTTTTTTTTCGACTACATATACATGCAACATGTTTTGCAGGGAAAGTTAGGCCCCGTTTGAATTATGCTTTACCTATTACTGATCAAAGAAGTTGTGGAAACTAGAAAATTTCACAGATTATGGACGCCTAGAATTTTTTTCCAACAATCTTATTGGGAAAGAAACGAAAACGAAGAGGACCGGGACTCAAATCACCTGTCTAATTTTTTTTTTCGACTACATATACATGCAACATGTTTTGCAGGGAAAGTTAGGCCCCGTTTGAATCATGCTTTACCTATTCATGATCGAAGAAGTTGTGGAAACTAGAAAATTTCACTTAGATTATGGACGCCTCAAATTTTTCCCAACAATCTTATTGGGAAAGAAACGAGAACGAAGAGGACCGGGACTCAAATCACTTGTCTAATTTTTAGTGTCTTAATTGGTGTTCAACCAATCAAATTATGACATGTTAATAAATAGATTTAAATATCAAAACAAGGAAAGTAGTTAAAAAGATATTTTAATTTTTAAAATGATGTGGCAATGATTATACACCATTCTAAACATTGCAATTGGGGGCAGGTGATTTGAATCCAGCCCGGATATGAGAGGAGCAGCGGAGTAGCGAGAGAAAAAAAAATTACAATTTTCTTTTAAATGAATTCTGTTTATTTATTTATTTC